CGGGGCGAGGCGGGAGCGCGAACCCTGGCCGGGGAAACACCTGCTTCTGCACATTTCAAAGAACTGTCTTTCCCCAGCTTGTCGGTCCACTTTCTCGGTAGCAGCGCGTCACTGAAGCCATCTGTTTAGAAACATGAGCTAACAGCCTTTTACGGAGCTTTAATCGCCCCCTCCCATGACGCGTCGAAGGGTGTCCACTGCGCGGTCCCCTCGGGCTGACCCGCGTCCCGGGTCTGCGGAGTCAGCTGCGTCCCCTTCTTGCTAGTGCCCTGAGAACGAACGAACGTCCTGCCGCCGCTCCTCTGTCACTTTCTGCAAGGCCACAGGTTTCTCTGGGTGTCGTGTGCAGGGACCGCACCCAGGATGCAATAGAAATTCTATAGTTTGTCGTCTGATGGATGGAGCGCATGACCCTCCTCATTTACCATGAGGCCTCTGAGTAGGGACCTTTTAAAAGAAATTTCAAAATAGGTTTGGAGGAAACCGACCTTCCTGTGGAACATCTGTGGTGCCCTAATTAATGGAAAATCAATGAAAACTCCATTACATAGCATCTTTCCCCACCAGCCCGTGGACATATTCCCAGGCGAGCCCACCTGCTGGGACCGTTACCTTTCCACATGGAAACCAGGGCAGCACTGGCCAGCACAGCGCACCCGGCCGGAGCTGCCCGGAGGGAATTCAGAACTCCTGGCTCTCCAGGCTGCCCTTGAACTCACCGCCCTCGCCAATGCTCACCTGTTCCGCTGGCAGGTTACCAGGCGGCACCGCGAGAATGACAGCAACGTGCTCTGGGCAGGGGGCCAAGCTGCTGGAAGTCCCCGGCCCGATACAGGACTGCACATTGGGAGGGCAGGGACTCCCTGCTCCTATGTCCTGTCCTCAGGAAACTCGCAAGCTACACTCAGTTCAGTCCACACTCGCCACGTGTAGAGGCCTGAACCACAACTTCAGCAGTTACCTATGTGACAGCCAAAGACTCCAGGACCGTGTAGAAGGTTCATGCACATTTGAAGCTGTAGGTGAGAGCAGCCACCATGAAGGGGGACTGTGCTTTGCTGCCACAATTAAAAAGGAAGACTGAAAATCAGATATAGAATTCTCTTAAAAAGAGAAAGGCCTCTTTTCCCCTCTTAGCTTTTTATTAAGCTGGAATTTTTTCCACGGGTTCTTTTTTTATTGGCCCTTCTTAATTGTAGAAACTTTGAAGACATAATTATGTGCAGGTAGTGGGATCCTGCTGCTAAGGTATTTGAGGACGGGATATTTCAGGATATATTTAGCATCTTCACGCGCTCTTAGCAGGATGACCATGCTACTTACACATAATAACATTTTCAAGATGTCCCACAAGTAAGAAGCAATGCCAATTTTAAAAGAACAAACCAAAGTTGCTCAGTGCTCAGAGTTTCTGGAGGAAAGGTGCCAGGGGTCGCTTGGCCTCCAGGTCTTGCACCCCAACCTGACACACAAACCCGGCACCATGTCAAGATCTCCCAGTTTGCATGAAAGCATGAGAGAGCAAGATAGACATATTTAAAGAAAGGATGGAAGTTATCTTGCACAACCCACCACAACATTGTAAAATTATCGTGTTGGTTGCAGGAGCTGGGCAGGGAGGGATGAGCAGTTGCCATTTAATGGGTAGAGTGTCAGTTCTGAAAGATGGGAAAGTCCTGCAGATGTCGCACAACAGTGCGGATGTACTTAACACCACGGGACTATACACTCAGAAATGACCGAGACGGTAACATTCATGTTACGTGATTTTTATCACAATAAAAAAAAAGCTAATGTAAAAGAAGTTATCATTAAATATTTCTGCTGGCCCAGCCCATCCTCCAAACCCTGCTGCCAGGATTCCCTGCGGAGCCTCATGGCACATGCACCCAACCTTCCTCCCTGGGGACCTTAAAATTTCTTGCCCCTTATAATTTGGAGCCACAAACCCCAACACTGCCAGACAAGTCAAGGCTCCCTCTGCTCAGCAGGACCTGCTGTCCTCAGAAGACATGGACATCACTGGACATTCACTCCAGCCCAGAGACTCGCCAAAGAACTTTTAAAACGTGTTCTTATCCCAGCAGGAGTTCTGATGAATTAGTCATAAGTATCTAGGTTTCATACCTAATGGAAAAAGTAGAACTTAGAGGAATGCAATGTGACATTCTGTGTGACACTGCTTTGTGATGTGTCTGTGTGTATGTGTGTGTATGTGTATGTATGTCTGTTGTGTGTATGTGTGTGTATGCATGCATACTTGTGTCTGTGTATGTATGTTTGGGTCTGTGTGTATGCATGTGTGTGTGCATGTCTGTGTATATGCGTGTCTGTGTGTGTGGGTATGTGTGTTTGTGTGTAGTATCTGAGACTCTCTGAGAGTGACTCTTTCCTTCTTACAGCCCCTCAGAAGAGGAGACACTATATGACCAACAGTGTCCACGGACGTGTTTGCCTGAGGAAATAATTCCTGAAATTCGAGCAGAGAATCCAGCTTCCAACTTGCAGCGGAGCCACCAGTGAGCTCGAGTCAGGCGACTTTCACACACGGGCCCTCCTGCGTTAACTGGCGCACACGCGTTTCAGACACTAACACGTGTTCCTGCTAAAAACTAAAAAGTATCTTTAAAGAAGGCCGGTAACCGGATGGAATCGTCTATTAACTTCTCGGAATAAGAATTAACACTTTTATTTTTGTTTCCATTCTCACCGCGTAATTTTAACTGTTGTCCTCCAAGAGGCCTTTCTAGTTATTTCTGGGCCGGGAACGAACGAGCAATAAATAAACTCCGTGCAGATGGCGAGTTTCTTTTTGCATCGGTGGGGCGGGTCTCACTTTCCCCGCAGTCAGGCTCCGCCCGCTCTGGACCGGCCCCGCGGGGAGGCCTGTGGGTCCCCAGGAGC